GTAGAGTCAAGTAATGTGGCATCTTTAATTGTAAAAGTCATTCTTGAGCCAGGCATGGTGATGCCTCCGCACTCTTTAAGTATTAGGGAGACAGAGGTAGGTGAATCTATGAGTTTGAGGCCAGCCTGGTCTACAGAGTGAGTTCCAGGACAGCCAGGGCTATACAGAAACCCTGTCTCAAAGAAAGAAAAGATCATTCTTCCACTGCATTTCACTATCACCTTTGCCATGTTTGTACAGCTAAATTTGGGCAGTGTTGGACATAAGATACTAATTCTGGACCTTATTTCCAAGAGTATATGTCTTTATACCATTATGCAGCAATTGTACCATTCCAGATATATTCATCTTGAGTTCTACAGTTTCATTCTTTAGGATTGTCTTTGATAACCTAGGCCTTTTGCATTCCCTTAACCATTTTAGAACCATGTTCCTTTCTTGTTTTGGTGTGTGTTTGTTTACTTTCTTTAAGGCAGAGTCTCACTGTGTAATGCAAGCTAGCCTCAAACTCAAAATGCTATTGCCTTAGCTTCCCTAGCACATGGATTAAGGCAGGCACCACTGTGACTGGCATTACTTTCTAGAAAAGTCCTGCTGGGTTTTTGATTGGGTTGTGTGGATGTTCCCAGTGGTTCTCATCCAAGAGTGGTTTTTGACCTCCAAAGGACAGTTGTCAATAGCTAGAGACATTTTTTGTTGTCATAGCAGTGAGAATGCTAATGGCATCTAAAATCAGAAGGCCAAGAATACCCAGCAATGCTCAGGGCAGCGCTCCATCAACGAATTATTATCTAGCTAAAATGTTGGTAGCACTGCTGTAAGATACTCTGGATTAATGTGCTCTTCTTGGGCCTTGTCTGCCATATTACTATTTGTTTTCTAAGTGGTTTGTTGGTTGGTTTTAATTTTTGTTTTCATTTTACCTTCTTTTAGATTAATCAAAAATGGGTATTATCCCATTTCTACTGACCTTGGAAGGATTTTGACAGCTTAATGAAGTTCATCTGGTACAAATTGTCTACCACTTAAATAGACTCTGAAAATACTAACTTCTCCCCATTTTAGTTCGTACCCACATAAACTACAAAAGACTTGATAACTGATGTGTATGTACATTTCACATTGTTTGTGCTGGCCAGCTCCATTGTCTTCATTCTACCTACTTCCTATGCTTCTATGTAGGTTAATTTTTCTACTGTACTTCTTCCTTTAGTGCATCCCTGACAGCAATGAGCTAAGCCCCAAGCCATACCTTCATTTTTGAAAGCTATTTTATATGGTTAGGTTAGGTTAGGGTTAGGGTTAGGTCTCGTGTGGGGGAGTGGGGGTGGTTTTTTGTTTTTGTTTTTTGTTATTGTTTTCTTTATCATTTGTGCATATCTCTTTTGTGATTGTGTATACATGGTTAGAGTAATACATGGATTTAGGGTATACATGTAGATCGTATGTATATACATGCTCATGCATGTGTGTGGAGATAGGTTGTAGCCTTGGGTATTGTTCCTCAGGAACCATCTACCTCATTTTGTTTTTGTTTTTTTTGCTAGAAATTCTCACTAGTTAGAGCTCACTAGTTAGGCTAGACTGACTGGTCAGCTAGTCCCAGGAATCCTGTCTCTACTACCCCAAGTGTACATATACCACCTGGCTTTTTCTCTTTCTTTTTTTTTTTTTTTTTTTTTTTTTTTTTCTTTCTGTTTTTTAAATTTAAATTTAAAGCAAGGTTGTTTTACATGTCAATCCCAGTTCCTTCACCCTCCCATTCTCCCCTATCACCACCAAACCCCAGCCCCCAGCCCATCCCCTTTCTGCTTTAAAGTCTGTCATCATTTGGAGCAGGGCCTAGGCCCTCCCCCATGTGTCTAGGCTGAGAATGTATCCCTCTATGTGGAATGGGCTCCCAAAGTCCAATTGTATATAGATACTGGTATAAATACTGGTCCATTACTAGAGGCTCCATAGATTGCCTAGTCTTCCTAACTAACACCTACATTCAGGGGATCTGGGTCAGTCTTATGCTGGTTTCCCAGCTCCCCCTTGTTCAGGTCAGCTGTTTCTGTGGGTTTCTCCAGGTTTCTCTTGACCCCTTTACTCATCACTCCTCCCTCTGTAACTGGATTCCAGGAGTTCGGCTAGTGTTTAACTGTGGGTGTCTGCTTCTGCTTCCATCAGCTACTAGAGGAAGGCTCTAAGATAGCATATAAGGTAGTTATCAATGTCATTATCGTGAAAGAGCATTAAAGGTAACCTCTCCACTGTTGCTTAGATTGTTAGTTGGGTTCATCCTTGTAGATCTCTGGGTATTTCCCTAGTGCCAGATTTTTCTTTAAATCTATAATGGCTCTCTCTATTATGGTATCTCTTTTCTTGTTCTCTTTATTTTTTTCCTGTCTCAATCTTCCTGTTCCCTCATGCCCACCTCTCCCCTCCCCTTTCCCCTTCTCTTTCTCCTAACTCCCTTTCCCTTCCCTCCATGCTCTCAATTTGCTCTGGAAATCTTGTCCCTTTCCCCTTCTCCAGGGAGCCATATATATCTCTCTTAGGGTCTCTCTTGATTTCCTAGCTGTGTGAATTGTAGGCTGGTAATCCTAAAATCCATATACGAGTGAGTACATACCATGTTTGTTATTTTGTGACTGGGTTACCTCACTCAGGATGGTACCACTTGGCTTTTTCATGTGGGTTCTTAGCAAGCACCTTACCCTCAGAAACCCTTGCTCAGATATAAGCTTGCTCTCTGCCTGACCTACCAGGCCACTCCTCAGCAATTATCCATCATCCATTCATTTTTATATCATCAAGTGGGCTTTTGGGGCAAGGAAAATCATGTTTTTAATGGTAAGAAATAACTTTTATTGTGTACTTGAATATCTTTAATTCAGATTCTCATCTGCCTTTAACAATAGTTCTATTACAGGTAAGATTCACCAGTTCCAGGAATCTGAAATGCATTTCCTACCTCTGACTTTGGGGAGTGTGGGGGTCCCAGTTAGCTTCCTTTCCTATTCACTAATTCAGTGACCATTATCTCAGGCAGGAGATACCAGATAGTGTATGGCAAGTACCCAGGGGGTGCCATTGGTTCTCAGCTAAGCTTATGACATCCACACTTGGCATTTTCCTAACCTAGATGAGTTTGGTGAGTTTTTGTTTATGATCTAACAAATAAAGCTTGCCTGAACAGCAGAGCACAGAGCTAGCCTCACTAGTTACACACTAATATACCAGTATACACACAGGTATATACACCAGCACACACTAGTGTGTACCACTAGACAGTGGTAGTACACACCTTTAATCCCAGCACTAGGGAAGTGGAGACAGGAGTAGAATGGCTGGGCAGAGAGAGGAATATAAGGCAATAGGAGACAAGCAAGAGATGCAGTCTGAGGATTTGTGGAGATGGGATGGCCCTTTCAGTTTGAGGTAGAGGTAAGAGCTTGTGACTGGCTGTTTTGCTTCTCTGATCTTTCAGCTTTCACCCCCTAATATCTAACTCCCAAGTTTTTATTATTAATACTGATTAGAATTCGTGTTATAGATGAAAAGGCTTAGAATCCTTTCCTTGGCCTCCTGGGGGCCATAGATGCCAGCAATACCTTTCCTCACAGGGTCTGTGGAACTCCAGAGGTCAGACTCTCTCTAGGTTATCTTTTTGTACACTGGAACGCTCTCTTGGTTCGCAGGCACAGCCCAGCACAACTCTCTGGAATGGACAGGTCTTGGTCCATATGCACACCAGGCTCTTCTGGCCTGCCAGCCCTGTGGCCACTGGTTTTCGGAGTGCTCACTCATGAGATGGAGATGGACAGTTGAGGAAAAGTGCAAGCCCACCAGACTAGATGATCACTATTCCAGCTGTGGGTGATCACTCTACCCAATGCCAACATTTTACAATGTTACACACTTATATCTCCAGCTTTGGCTCAGTCCTTAGTACTCTTGGGCCACAGTTTTGTGTCTTCCCAGAATGCTCTGTTTTCCCAAAGGGAATGTTTGAGGCTTTTATTTCTCTCCTCAAGCTCTGTTTATCTATTGTTGTTCACTGTCAGACTCGGAGTTTGAATTTCTCCTCACAGAAAAGAAAGGCTTTCAGGCACTAAGCTGCTCAGCCTCTCCATTACCTCAACTCCTGTCTGCTTTGCTTTCCTGCTTGCCATCCATCTTTCTGTGCTGCTGAAATCTCTTCCCGTGATGTCTGTGGCAGTGTACATTCCTGGGTTCCCATAGCATACCCTTCTTCCTTTTGTGTCGCAGTCGGTCTCGCCTGGCTCTGATTCTTCCTCCTTCTTACCATCCACATAAAGATCATAACCTCCCAACAACACGCGCACACACATACACACACACACACACACACACACACACACACACACACACACACCTCAATGACAACAGGCAAGAGAAGAATCCTGAGAGAGAAGTCAGAATTGTAGGGAAGAGGAATCAAGTGTAAAGGACATGAGGACATGAAAGCCTTCTCGGGTGCTAGGAACATTCTGTCTTGCTTTGGGTAGTGCTTATGCAGGTCTGCACATATGTGAGAACTCGCTGACCTATACACTGGGACTGTGTCTTACTCTGTATATGCCTCTTCTTCCAGCAGCCCAGTTGGGTTAGAACCCAAACTCTAGCCTAGCCCAGAACCTTAGGCATTTGCTCCCAGGTAATGGTTCAGGTATGCTATAATGAAACTGAATTCTGGCTCTGCTAGGGATGTGTCTCCTCTCTGCTCACTTAGACCCTAAGCTTAGGTCTATCCTAATCCCTAGAGACTGTGATGTATGCTTGCATCCCTCACTAAGCTGGAGAGATTCCAAGGATAGGAACCAGTTCTTTGCAGTTTTCTTGCTCCCTTTTGCAATGGCTGGTACTTAGGAGCCCATAAATGTTTGGTTGGTGGATGGGTGGGTGGGTGGATGGGTGGACGGACGGACGGACTTTCACTTTGTGTTTGCTTTGAGCTTGACCTTCTTTACTAAGATGCTTCCCTCTTCCAGCCTGCAGGATGTTTCCTTGGTGAGGGAAGGCAGTTGTGCAATGGCGGTGTTTGACACTCCTGAGGAGGCCTTTGGCGTCTTGCGTCCAGTGTGTGTTCAGCTCACAAAGGCACAGACGGTGGAGAATGTAGAACATCTGCAGACACAGTTACAGGCCGTGAGTGACTCTGCCCTTCAGGAACTACAGCAGTATGTCCTCTTTCCCTTGCGATTTGCCCTGAAGACCCCAGGGCCCAAAAGAGAGCGCCTGATCCAGAGTGTGGTGGAGTGCCTCACCTTCATCCTCTCTTCAACATGTGTGAGGGAGCAAGAACTTCTCCAGGAACTCTTCTCGGAACTTTCAGCCTGTCTGTACTCTCCCAACTCCCAGAAACCTGCAGCTGTGTCAGAGGAGTTGAAATTGGCTGTGATCCAGGGACTTAGCACTTTGATGCACTCAGCTTACAGGGACATCATTCTGACTTTTTATGAGCCCTCCATCCTGCCTCGTTTAGGATTTGCTGTGTCTTTACTGCTGGGCTTGGCAGAACAGGAGAAGTCAAAGCAGATTAAAATTGCTGCCTTACAGTGTCTACAGGTTCTCCTCCTTCAGTGCGATTGTCAGGACCATCCTAGGCCGATGTTTGAACTGGAGCAGCAACAGCAGCTGGGGGACTTGTTGGCGTCCTTTTTACCTGGAATCTCAACTGCACTGACCAGAGTTCTCACAGGAGACTTTAAACAAGGTCACAGCATTGTTGTGTCTTCCCTAAAGGTCTTTTACAAGACAGTGGGCTTCGTCATGGCTGATGAACAGCTCACAAGGATCCCAAAGGCCCGGGCAAAGCCTACAGTTGAGCACAGAGTGGCAGCCCTGATGATTCACAGGGAAACAGACTGGGTAAAAAGCACTGGTGACAAGTTGGCGATCCTTATTAAAAAGATAATTGAGTGTGTCTCAGTTCACCCGCACTGGAAGGCGAGGCTAGAACTGGTAGAGCTTGTGGAGGTCCTACTTCTGAAGTGCAGTCAGTCCCTGGTTGAATGTACGGGTCCCCTCTTGAAGGTGTTAGTTGGCCTAGTAAATGATGAAAGTCCTGAAGTCCAGGCACAGTGCAATACAGTGCTAAGGCGTTTTGCAGAGCAGAAAGTAGTGGTGGGCAGCAGAGCCTTGGCTGACATCTTGTCAGAAAGCCTGCATGCGCTTGCCACATCTCTTCCCCGCCTAATGAACACACAAGACGACCAGGGCAAGTTCTCTACTCTTTCCTTGTTACTGGGTTATCTAAAACTATTGGGCCCCAAAGTACATGTGATTCTCAATTCTGTGGCCCACGTGCAGCGCCTTTCCAGAGCACTTGTCCAAGTACTAGAGCTAGAGGTGGCTGATGTCAAGATGGTAGAAGAGCGGCGCTGGAACCCTGACAACCTGAGTGCTTCTCCAGAAGCCTCGGAGGCCCGGCCGTGGAGACGAGTCCAGAGGAGATACTTCCGCTGCTTCACTGATGAGAGGGTCTTCCTGCTCCTGCGACAGATCTGTCAGCTCCTTGGTTACTATGGGGACCTGTATTTGCTTGTGGATCACTTTATGGAACTGTACCATGCGTCCGTAGTTTACCGAAAGCAAGCTGCCATGATTCTTAATGAACTGGTTATAGGGGCTGCTGGGCTGGATATAGAAGATATTCATAACAAACGTACAAGCATAGGCCCAGAGGAACTGAGAGAGATTGTGAAATCTCTAGTTGAAGAATACACAAGTGAAGAAAACTGGTACTTGATTACCTGTATTGAAGCTGAGGAAGGGGAGGAGATGACAGTGAAGCAGCATGGCCTCCAGGCCATCACATCTGGTACACACACCTGCCAAGTTGTACCTTTTCCAGCCTTGTCAAAGCCAAGCCCCACTATCTGCTCCATGAACAGTAACATCTGGCAGATATGCATCCAGTTGGAAGGGATTGGCCAGTTTGCTTATGCATTAGGAAAAGACTTTCGTTTGCTTTTGATGTCAGCTCTCTATCCAGTACTGGAAAAGGCTGGAGACCAAACCTTGCTCATTAGTCAAGTGGCTACAAGCACCATGGTAGACATTTCCCATGCTTGTGGCTATGACTCTGTACAGCACCTTATCAATCAAAATTCAGACTATTTGGTGAATGGCATCTCTTTAAATCTACGTCACCTTGCTCTGCACCCTCATACCCCAAAAGTCTTGGAAGTCATGCTTCGGAACTCAGATGCTAGCCTACTTCCTTTGGTAGCAGATGTAGTTCAAGATGTCTTGGCCACCCTGGACCAATTTTATGATATAAGAGCTGCTTCCTTTGTCGGCGTTCTGCATGCTCTGCTGGCAGCATTAGGTACATTGAAAGACCTTTTGATGCCACTTGAGATAGGAGCCAGGGTCCTGGTTTGCCTAGTCTTATTTTATTTCATGTTCAGGAATGTGCTGTGGAGGACATTGGAAAGATTGTTTCTCCAGCCCCACAGGGCACAGGAGATTGTCAGGCTCCAGTGTTTATTTTATACTTTGAATATCTCTGCCATTTATTGAGCCCTGCTCTATGGCTGGGATATAAACCACACAGACTAGGTAGAAACAGCATTTTTTTATTTTACAAATAAGAAAAACCAAGGCTCAGTGAGATCCTGCTCAGCCAGGGTCACAATATTAATAAGGGATAAAGTTGGATTTGTGGCTAGTTTATTCTTCCTAATATACTATGCTGCTCCTGGTGCCTTGTAGAGCTGACAGCATCTGTGCTGGAACAGCAGGAAGTGCTCAGCCACAGAGCTGGAGCAGCAGATAGAAGCTTTTTCTTTGGTTGGGGTTTGCTCTGGAAATTGAACTCAGGCCCTACATATGCTAAGGTATTCTACCACCGAGCTACATACTCAACCCTCTAGAATTTTCTGATGATGATGGTAATACTGTATTATTTTTTACTTTCTATGTGTATGAGTGTGTATGCCTACATGCGTGTGCTGGTACCTGCAGAGGCCTGAAGAAGGCACTGTACCTCCCAGAACTGGAGTTACACTTGGTTGTGAGCCACCATATGGGTACTGGGAGTTGGAACTGGCCTTCTGGAAGAACAACCAGTGCTCTTCACTGCTATACCAAGGCTCTTTTAACCTTTTTTTTTTTTTTTTTTTTTTTTTTTTTTCTTTTAAGATTTATTTATTTATTTATTTAATATGTACAGCTGTTGTGTCTGCGTGTGTATCTGTGAACCATATGCATGCAGTACCATTGGAGGCCAGAAAAGAGTGTCAGATCCCCTGGCACTGGAAGTACAGGATGCTAGGAATTGAACCTTGGCCCCCCTGCAAGGGCAGCCAATGTTCATAGACACTGAGACATCTCTCCAGCCCCTCCTTTTTACCTTTTAATTGTACCGTTTGACTTAATTGTTTCATTTATAATTTGATCCTGTTGGGTGCCTACTAGGGATGTTAGCCACCGTTAGGGTGGCACGATTTTGTACCATGAAAAAAAAGCCAGGCTTGGTAGGATTATACCTGTAATCCCAGCTGCTAGGAAACTCGGGCAGGAAGATCATGATTTCAAGGCCAGTCTGAGCTACATAGCAAGACCGTGTCTAATAAATAAATAAATCCCTCAACTGAACAGTTAATCATTGAGTGAAAAACAGTGAGCTAGGTCCTGATGCCTTTATCCAGAGAACATATCTCCAGTTCTGCCATAGTCTCTGAGGCAAAGGGAAAGGTCCTTGGCCTCATTCTGTCAGGTAAAAAGGCCAAGATCCTGTGAGAAACTTTCTCAGGAGGGGTGACACTTGGAGTTCACTCATTCATTGATGACCACATACAGCATGAGTGCTTTCTTCACTCATGAAGAATGCCTGCTATATGTCCGATGCTACACTAAGTAGTGAGGAGGTGGCGGTGAACAAGATAAACTCATAGAGCTTTCCTGCGACTGAAAGAGATGATAAACAAGGGAAGCATTAAGCAAGCTCAGGGGGCCTCCGATAAGCTCTTTGAAGGAAATGAAAACCTCATGCTAAGAAGGAACAGGGATAGGCTACTCTAAGTTGCACTGTCAGGGAAGACCTCTCTAGGAAATTTAGTGAAGGCTGAGACTGGGAGGAGGAGGCTGCCAGGCGTACAGGGCTGTGGAACTGTTTGTAGGACTCTAAGTGCACTATCCGCAGAGGGAATAGTGGTGTGAATACCCCACGGACACAACGGGAATGGAGTATTTGGAGAGAATGTTGATGAGTATAAAACAGAGTTAAATAGGAAATAGGACAGATCCTTATGGGCATATAGACCAAGGGAAGAAGTAGAAAAACTTTTCATGTCATAGCAGTCAGGACACAGAAGCAGAGAGAAAAGGGGGGTGGTAGCAAGATGCATCCTTCTTGTGTGTACCTACAATGATTGCTTCTTCCACCCAGGTCTCAGCTCTTAGAGTCACCACCAGTTAATGGACATGGCCTTTGGGAGGCATTTCAGATCCTAACAACACCTATCTGTACCTAATAGTCACTGGCAAAGCAGCTATGAACAAGACCCACCCAGGCCTGGCCTGACCTGGACCTCATACCAGGATAGCTAACTGCTTAGACATTGCAGACTGGGACCAGCTTCTGTGGCCAGATGTCCCACCTCTGCTACACTGGGGAACTAGATTATATTTCAGCTTGGAATTTAAACAATTTACAAAAAGGCTAAGGGAATTGGACAGATGACTCAATGGTTAAGAGCACTTGTTGCTCTTGCAGGATGCCCAGGTTCAATTCCCAGTGCCCACATAGTGGGTCACAAACATCTGTAACTCCAGACCCAGGGTCTCCGGTGCTGAACTCTTGACTAATGCAGGTACACACATGGTGCACAGACACATACATTCAAGGAAAATACACATAAGAAGAAAATTTTAAATGTAAAAGGTATATCTTTTTAGGAGATAGCTGAATTTGGATTTTGAAAATTGAATTTCCTTAGATTTCTGATGCCTTTGGTCATTTGAAGGAGGAAAGATGTAACATCCTGTGTAGCATTTTTTAAAACTAAAGTAGACAAGTAGGGTCTCCATTGCAGAAAGAAAAATAAGGATGGTTAAGACAGACTGGAACATGGGGTGGGGAAAGAAAAGCAAAATTGGAAACATTTTCCACAAGTTTTGAAACAACCCAATATCTAATTGCATTTTGAATAATAGGTAATGAAATTAGTAGTCACTCACAAACCAAAGCCCTTTTGAAGCTGGCATTTCTGTTTGTCGTCAGATGGCCTTTCTTTAACATGAAAGTGGAAGTTTGCTTTCAAGGAACTTGTGAAAAGTCTTGAAAGACAGGTACATGTTTGAGGGCACTGACTTAACCGAACATGCACACTTTGTATGCACTGACCAAAAGGCAGCAGGTTCCCAGGGAGGGCAGAACCACCAGGCACTGATGGCCAATTGTTGTTAACAAGGAAAAACCAGGAAGTTTTCCTGTCACACTCCACACTGGAGGTTGTGCCCCATGCACACAGGGCTGTGTATCACATCCCACTGTGTCATGGCACTGATTTTAACCAGACCCTTCTTGATTGCCATTTTGGTTCTTTCTCATCCTTTGCCACCGCCACAAAAAAAAAAAAAAAAAAAATATATATATATATATATATATATACATATATATATATATATATGTTCTATCTTTTGCCTTCAATATATCAGTAGCATAAATTTCTAAAAGAAATGCTTGTTCAAAGAGTTTTATATTTAAATTTTTGATTGAGAGTATCAAATTGCTCTCCTAAGAGGTTGTACCAATTTAAGCACCATCAGCAATGTGAAAGTGCCAATTTTGCCACACCCTCACCCATACTGTCTTATTACTGAGCCTTTGATCTTTGCTAATCCAATAGGAGAAAAATTGTACCTTATTATAGTTGTAATTTGCATTAAGAGTGAGGTTGAGCTTCTTTTCATACTTTTAAAACCCATTTGTGAGCAAAGACATTTTCCAATCTGACATTAGCTTTGAATATGGAAATAATCTGCAGTGTTTGGGCTCCCAGCAGTGAAAATGTTGGGTCTAGGCTTTACCCGTTTGGGGACCAGCAGCACCTTAGAGTGTACCCAGAGCCTAATATATACCTGGGAATGGAGCACTGAAGAAATGGCATACTTAGCTATGTATGGAGCACATGTTTTTACTTCTAGTACTCAGGAGGCAGAGGCAGGCATATCTCAGCTAAAAAAGGATGCTTAACTCCACAAATAGGAGCTTCCAGCTAGTGGCCAGGAAACTGTCATCTCAAGCATTTGCTCTCTGATACAGTGTCTGAACCTGTCACCTCCCTTCTGCTGTTCTTCTGGCTCTAGGCTGTCTTCTCCTTAAGGAAAAGGAGATTAGCAAGTGTTAAAAATGTTAAGTCTTTTTCCTGCTGTAGGCAGAAGGGAGGGAGGGCACTGGACCCACCAGAATCTGTGAGATTGGGATGTTATTGCTTTATTCTTTAAATATTCAGATCCTTTTTTAATTAAGGACTTTGAAGGATCTCAATATCCAAGAATGGTTGAAATTAAAGCTGCTGTAGTTGAATAAGGAATTTAGACCCTAGTAGATGGTCTACATTCACCCTGACCTGGTTTCCACTATGTAACTGCTGCAGAGGCCTAAGGTCCCTCAGGGCACAGTTGAAAAACTACTGGAGTGGTTTAAGCTTTATTCTGTGGTGACATGTCAAGAGGCACTGGAAAATTTTCTGTTAAGAAAATGTCCCATGTAAGACTGTCCATTCTCCTAGTTCTGCAGAGCCCATCTAATAAGGATCATATCTTGTCCTCACAGTTGTATTGCTTGTTATGTTTTGAGTTCCCACCCTATGCTGTAGGCATGTTATAGAGTTAAAAGTTCCGTGTGGAGAATCACATACCAAACAGTATACATAAAATAGTTACAAAATACAAAGAGAATGAGCCTTGCCTGAAATGGTCGGCTTTACCGGGGCAAGTTCTGATGGTTCTGAAATGTGCAGTAATTTGGAACCGGCCAGATGTAAAAAGAAGAGTATTCCAGAGCAGTTTGGTTTGGAGGGCTGTGCCAGCTGGTGCCTGTCACTAATCACCAGAGTCACGATAACCTTTTCTTACAGCCCACTGGTTCCCAGATGCAAGTTCTACTGGGCAACTCCAGCAGAGCAGTATAGAAGAGGAGGAAAGGCAAACACCAGCAGCCTGCGAGGCTAGCACCACAGCTGAGGACATTGAGCAGTTTGTGCTGAACTACCTCAAAGAGAAGGACGTGGCAGAGGGGAATGTTTCTGACCTTGAAACTGAGGAAGGTAATTGCTATTTGTTGTCATTAGTTCCTTCTTTTTGAAAGAGATCATTGTGAAAACAAAGTGTCATTCCAGAAAGTGGAAGAAAAGTTGCCCCAAACTTCACTGTGCTCACAGCTGTTCCTGGGTGTGTGTGTGTGTGTGTGTGTGTGTGTGTGTGTGTGTGTGTGTAAACTTATCCCATTTTATGTAAAAAAAACAAAACAAAACAAAAACTGATTTTAATGGTTGCAGCCATAGTTTTTGTTTTGTGCTGGTAAAGCTTATACTAGGACTCACTACCATTAGTCTGTACCCAGCACCTCCTGCTCTAGAGTCTAAATGTATCACATCCTTTCTGTGTCTAGTTATAAAGGTCACTCCAAGTTTTCAAAGTCATTGTTGGAGTGGCAGCTACCAAGTGTCCATTCCCCATGTGGAGTTGAGGCTGCCTCAGCCTTGCTGTGATAGACAGTGTGTCAAGCAATGATTCTGTGTGTGATCTTTTCCTCCTACATGAATATCTATAAATTCTCACAAGTAGGGTTCCTGGGTCTGAGATATGAGCATCAGCTAGTGCTGACCAGTTTGCCTCCCAGACAGTCATATCAGTGTGTACCTTCCCAACAATGGTGATTTCCTGTTTCACTTTTTCCAGTTTCAGCAAGTTAAAAATGGCTCATTATTTTATTTCGCATGTCTTTGATTAATGCCCAAATTGGACATATTTATTTATGCTTCTTCCTGGCATTTTTTTCTCCCTTAGGCCCATTGCTTATTCATGGGCTTCGTCTATTTCTTTATTGGTAGAGAATGATTGCTGTGTTTTTCTTACCTATTTATATGATAAAGGAAAAAGAGAGTTCAAGCCAGTAGCAGCTCTGGCCTCTTGTTTTATTCACAAACTCAATCTGGAGCTTTAGGTCATGGAAGGATTAATAAATTATTAGAATCGCCTCTGCAAATATAAAATGCCAAGTCATAATGAGCTTGGTGGTCCCAGAACTATCCTAAATTGAACAGAGTCCCAAATTAGTTTGTTAGGTTGGAAGTGAACAGATTTCTTTTTTCTTTTTCATTTTTCCCATCTGTGCTCTCATTCTGGTGAGCTGGAGCCAATGTGTCCAGGATAACAGGAAAGTATAGCTCGCTGCAGTGAATGCAACAAATTCCTTCTGAGCAGTGGCAAGCAGCGGAGGTCCAAACAAGGCTCTTAACAGAGTTGAGCTGGTACAGTTCCCACAGCCAGCACTCTTTCAGGCTTTGTCTTCTGTTTCTCTGCTGAGCCAGCCAAACCCTCCTGTGAACCACACCTGCACCTCCACCCAAACCTGTACCTCTGGAGAAAGAGGTGACATGGCCTTTCATGATCAAGGTAGCCATTCTGATCTAAAATTCATCAATAAACCTGCTCTTCTGTGATTGAGATCTTCTGGTTCTATTGAGGTAATTTAGTCAATAAAGTGCTTGCTTTGCAAGCATAAGGACTCAAGTTTGATCCTCAGAAGTCACATAAGAAGCTTGGTGTGGTAGCATGGGCTTGTAATCCCAATACTCAGGTTGTGAAGATAGGCAGGTCCCCAAGCTCCCTGGCCAGATAGCCTAGCCTACTCAGTGGGCCCCAGACCAAATGAGAGAAACCCTGTTTCAAAAAACAAGGTGGATAACTTGAGGAGCAAAATACAAGTTTGACTTCTAGCCTTTATATGCACACACACACACACACACACACACACACAGAGAGAGAGAGAGAGAGAGAGAGAGAGAGGAGAGAGAGAGAGAGAGAGAGAGAGAGAGAGAGATACAAACACAAAGATCTGGTTCTAGTGGATCATTGCTGGGATCAAGTGGAATGAATCAAACCTTCCTCCAAAGCCAGAAGCTCACATCCCTGAAATAGCACTCCACATCAGAAAATTCAAACAGCAGACCCTCCTCTGAGGAGAAGCAGTTTAGCCCCATTGCTTACAGTTGTCATTCTTTATGTGTATTATATTCCCTTGACTTCATAAGATGGTTTGTCTTGATACAAGTTTGGCATGAACATTGTTTAACTATGTAAAGGCACTTATATATCCAAAGTCCCTTTCTCTGAGAAAGCCAAGCATTCTGCAAATGCATATCCCTTCATCTTCATAGCATCTAGTAGAAACTTGTACAGCCTCTATTATGAGGCTAAGGTTTTCCAGCAAAGGAAATCTGAACCCAGAAAAAAGTGAGCAATGCCCAGCTCAATGGGAATGCTCACTCACAGCTGCTGATGGGACAGTGGAACAGGGTCTTCTGCCTCTTAAGCAGTAAGTACTAGGCAGGGAGAGATGAGAAGAGCTGTGTATCCTCCTCACTCACTCTCCTAGCAGCAAATGATATGCCTTATACCTTTGCTGCAGGTAAGGTAATGTACAGTGGAAGGAGGTGTTAACAGGTTGTGGAGACTCCCCTGTCCAAGCCCTACATCTATGCATTGCACCAGGCTGCCCTATAATGTCAGCTCTCAAAGATAAATAAGTTCTTGGTGTTGGCCATCCAGACATCTTACAAGCTAATAGACTGATAAAATTTGGCCCTGTGTGGTCAAGGGATGAATCAAAAAGAAAGGAAAGAAGAGAGAGCAGAGAAAAGGCCACTCAGGGCACTGCCCAGTCTGGGGCTCCAAATTAGAACTGTGCCCTAAAAAAGTTTTAAGTCATCTATTATCGCATGACTTACCCCTCCCCGTACGTTGTTATTCTTCCTCCCATGCTAAAATTCATTATCATAGAGCCTTGCTGCATATGTAAATGTGGGGGAACAGGACAAGAATGGAAGTGGGGTACTACTCACTGGGTGACCTCAGACTCTGATATCCACCTGCCTCTGCCTCGAGGGCTCTAGGATTAAAGGCATGCACCACCACTCCTGGTGAACCTGGTGACCACTTCTGGTGAACTTCTTGATTGTGCAGTTTGGCCTAAATTCCTTGCAGTATCCCACTGTGCATTTTTCTCTAAGTCCTTGTCTCGGGTCTGTTGCTGTGAAGAGGCACCATGACCACAGTAGTTCTTATAAAGGAAAACACGGCTTGCAGTTCAGAGGTTAGTCCATTATCACCATGACAAAAAGCATGGCAGCACTCAGGCAGACATGGTGCTGGAGAAGGAGCTGAGAGTTCTACCTCTGAATTGACAGAGAGAATCACGCTGGGCTTAGCTTGAGCATCTGAAATCTCAAAGCCTGCCCCCTAGTGACAAACTTCCTCCCATATTACACCTACTCCAACAAGACCACATCTCTGAATAGTGCCCCTCCCTATGAGCCTGTGGGGGTCTTTTTCTTTCAAACCACCACAGCCCTATTCCAGAGTCTGGAGCCAGCAATCAAGCTTGATCTTTCTAAAGCATTGTCACTAATTCTGTTCTTTCAGAGGAGCAGGCATCCCCCACCACAGTGGATGAGAATGATGCCTTTCCAGATGTGGAGCCACCACTGCCAGTGCACATCCAGATAGCCAAGGATGTGATGGAGCGCTGCATCCACTTATCATCAGATAGGAATCTGAAAATCCGCCTGAAGGTCAGTGTGCAGCCCTTCTCTCACTCATACAGCAGCAGGTCCAAGAAGTGTGGTCGCTGGTCGCTGGATAAGCAAGCACATTTTCCCCTGTCCATGTGTGATGTCCATGAAAAAGAAGCATCAAGAGGAGTCCTGTGTGTAGTACAACAGTTGTATGGTCTCTTTTTTTTCTAGACAAGCTTTCTAGACAGGCTTTGGATCCTGTCCTGGAACTAGCTCTTGTAGACCAGGCTGGCCTCGAGATTTGCCTGCCTCTGCCTCCTGAGTGCTGGGATTAAAGCCATGCACCACCAATGCCCGGCCTTTTTAATGTCTTTCTGTGTAAGTCCAGATGCCAAGAGGGAGCTGATTCTCTAGGGTAGGGAATACCATGTGCTTTGAAAGACTATCATTCCTATGATAACTTAATGCAGGATACAGTTTTTAATACTTTAAGGTAGTTATTCTTCTGAATCCTTATCTTTGTTTCTGTTTGTATTTTCATCATAGAAAAAACTAACACTTTCTGTAATTTGACTTCCTCATGTGTGAGCAGTTCCAGATAAGCCCCCATCCAAGGACTGAACCTCATAAGTGACTTGGTAAAAGAACTATGGGGAGGGAGACACCTCATAATCATTCCAAAAAAAAATCCTTAAGCCACAGAAAAGCATCACCTCTATACCTCAAGCAGGAGGGAGGACAATTGCCTAAATTGCTCTGCATCGGTATTCTTGTTAAAGGATAGGGACCTTGATCTGCAAGTTATCCCTAATATCAGGGTCTGTATTGTGGAGCTTTTCCAGCCTTCCTGAGACATCTGCCCATTCACATTCCACTTCAATTTTACTGCCTCGTCACTATTTGACAGCTTTCTAAATACTCTTCATCTTTGTGGCAGCTATGTACACACTGCAGTTTTTAAGTGTATCAGTTGTTGTCGGGCTTGGTAGTGTACACCTTTAATCCTAGCACTCGGGAGGCAGAGGCAGGCAGATCTACATGAGTTCCAGGACAGTCAAGGCTACACAGTAAAACTTGTCTTAATTTTTTAAAAAAAAAAAAATGGAGTGTCAATTAGACTAGCAAGATGGCTCAGCAGGTGAAACTGCTTACCACAGATTACAACCAACTCCCAGGACCTCTATATTAATGCTGTGGCACACATACTTGTTACACAGATGCACACACAGATACTTCATACACTCAATAATAATGAGTGACTATTTTAGGCCTGTCAGTGTAGGACCCTCATAGCTGAGTTAAGGCGATGCCTCTGCTCTTTCCTGGCCATATGACCTGGAGTAAGTTCATTCACAGCTTTAAGCCTTTGCATCAGCATGAGGGAAATGGGGACAAGGATGTAACCCTCACAGGATTGTTCATATAAAGATACGAGAGCCTGATGGGTGATGCATACACTCATTCATTCCCTCCCTCATTGAGCCCTTATGCAAGACATATAGAGGGCATGCAGAAGACCGTGGTACAGATGTGAGCCCTGTCTGCCTGGACCTTTCTATCTGTTGTGAAGAGGAGGCAATATACAATATACATATTCAAGTTTAGGAGGTTCTAGCAAGATAATGAACAGGCACCATGATAGAGAAGGGTAATTCATCTGTGAAGCTGAGCTTGCTTTCTGATTCCAACTAGCCAGCTAAGCAGGACTCTGAGGTGCAACATTTGAAAAGGTTGACGATCTGGCTGTGCAAAGGGGCAAAGGCAAAGAGAAGTTTCCAGGAAGAGGGGGAAAATAGACAGTTTTGAATCCATGAAATAAGATGCAGCTTGTCTAAACAGTAACACCAAAGTCATGTACTCATGCTCTCTTCTGTCCCACTAAGCTTTCTTTTCTACCTACTGACTCTGTTTCCTCCAGAAGTGTGGCCTCCTCTATTCTATGACTTTGGTGTGTAGTCAGCTGGATGTACGAGGCTCCTAGTAAGACTCCAATGGCCAGCTTCTCTCTGTCTGACTCAAGAGCACATACCCTGTGTACTCTTTGGGGCATCCATCCTTGCATAGCCTGTGTAGGCTTCTGTCCTGACCACTACCTACCATTGATGCTGGCTGTCAGTGTTCAGCAGTTGACTAAAAGGTCAATGTGCATCTAGGCTAACCCAGGCCTCTCTGGTAAGATTGGATGGCCCAAGCTTCCTGCCTGCTTCTCCAGATAGCACCAACTCCTCAGCCTACCCCTCCTCCCTGTTCCAGTGGCTTTGCTGCTCATTTCCTATACCTGACTCTAAGCAGCCCCACTGAAGTCACACGGTCCTGCTGAAGTCAAATCCTTTCCAGAACAGGCTCAGATCCTTTCATGGTTCTGCCGAAATCATGTGATCACATGTCTCTTTGCTGTGGGCTCCTAGAGGCCTCATCACTTCTTCCCAACCCCCTTCACATGGCTTCTTCACTCAACAACTAGGATGACCTTCAGAAAACATGTCATTTCCCTGATAAAACACTAGAAATGCCCCAGTATATTTAACAAAAAAATGAAAGGTTCTTAGCATGACCTTTTATGGCCCAGCTCCATGTCACTCTTCTATTTTGGCTGCTCTCATTTCTTAAGCAGGGCAAGCTCCGGGGTTTTTTAGGTTTGGTTTGGTTTGGTTTGAGTTTTTTTGTTGTTGTTGTTTTATGCTAGGGATGGAACCCAGGACATTGCACATGCTTGGCAAGCACTCTACCACTAAGGTCCATCCCAGCCATAGGATCTTCTTTGTTGTGATCCAGCTATCGGAACCCTCACTGCACTGAACTAGTGCCTGCTCATCATTTGTGTCTCCATTTAGAAATCACTCCTCAGAGACACTTTCCTAAGTCTGCTTTAGGGATTTCTCTTCATCTCTTTACATTACATACTTTACAGTCTTTCTTGGCACAGTAGCTAATCTTTTCTCTATTGAATGGTATCTACGGTCTTTTCCAGCTGACCCTAAACTCTATAAAGGCAAGGAAGTGTATATATTTTGTCCTTGTGTGTGTACCCCTAATACCTGGCCTGGAATGAGGTCAACAGGAATGGCCAAATCTCTAGGACATTAGGTTCATGTTATTTTGGAACCAAATGATGTATCAAGTCTCTATTACTGTCTTAATACATTTCTCAGGCTCACTCTGTTGAGCAGGGACTTGGTCCCAGGCATCTGTTTTTAAGCCCCTACTGTCTGTTGAAGTCCTGTCCTTTCTTTTAGGTCTTGGATGTGCTGAGTTTGTGTGTAGTGGTTCTGCAGTTCCACAAGAACCAACTCCTCCCACTGGCTCATCGGGCCTGGCCTTCACTCGTGCACCGACTCACAAGTGATGACCCCCTGGCAGTGCTCAGAGCCTTCAAGGTATTGTGACCCTGAGTCTTCTGCATCACTTCTCTTTATCTGACCTCTGGCACAGACCTTGAAAAAAGTAAAGAAAAACAAGAAAAGCACAGAAGAGAGTAAATGGCACTCTCTTTAGAATTTAAAGCTGAATGATTAAGCAAAGGCTGCCAGGTTTCACTGAGCAGCTCTTGTGTGCCAGGCAGTAAGCTTAGCCTTGTGCACATGGAAATGCATGTCATAGTAACCTGGGCTTTGACCAAGAAGGAAACAGGTTCAGAGACAATAACTTACCTTGGATCTCTACAGCTAGTAATGGATAGGACCCAGTCAGATCATGCTCAGTGAACTGGGTGAGAGTCCAGGTGACGGCCAACTTCTGCCCAGTCCAAGCCCACACTCACCCATTTTAGTACAGTTTTGTCTAGGATGAAATAGAACTCTGAGCCTTTGGAAAGCTGCATTCCTGTAGAGTGTCATTCCCCCTGGTTAGTTTGACTTATATTACCACATGAATTTTCATTTATTTATTTATATCCTTCCTTGTTCTAAAAAGCACTTAACAGCATCTTACAGAGATACGTTTGCCATGCAAGACAGCATAAATTAGAAGTGGTTGAGCAAGATGAAGTAGAGAGAAAAGATGTGGAGGGGTGACAGATGGGAGCTGGAAATGCAGACAGTATGCCTGGCAGAAGTAGTCTGGTTTCCTGTAAGATTCTCCAGTAGATAGTAAGCCAGAATACCAGCTTATTTGAAGGGCATAATTATTAATGTTAATTCCAAATCAAAGTACATGACATGGTGTGTGTGTGTGTGTGTGTGTGTTAAGAGGAAAGGAGAAAGAGAGAGAATAGGTATGTGTGTAGAGAGAAAGGAAAGAACCTGGGGGAGGCAAAGGAAAGGCGATATTACTAAATCTTATTCAAATGTACTGTTTCCCTTTATGAAAATTAATAGGTTATTTGAAATGACAGCCAGCCAGTGTAGAAAATTGAAAACATACTAAGATGTATGCACTGCAAGCAAGGCTGCTTTTTCCACATGCAGACATATTAATAGTGCTTTACCTGAAGTCATGTGATACAGCTAAGGGCCCTTGAGATGAGAACTTTACTCTGCAGACTGGACAGACACCGTGTGCCCATTAAGCCTTGCTTGCTTCCTGATTCTTAAAGAAATTCCTGTCCTCCTGTTCACTCAGCTTTGTGCAGTGGGGCAAAACATTTCAATATGTTCTGCTACAGAAAGTTTAAATGACACATGCAAAGAGACTGCCTGTTGTGAAAGATAGAAAAAGGGTGATGTACATGAGAGATTATGCAGTCAAACAGACGGAACGCAGAGATGGCTCCAGCCATGGGAACCAGCCTTGGCTTAGCCAGGAACCATAGCCTGAACACCATCCTCCTGATGTCTGCACATGGTGGCTGCTGAGCCTCAGAGTTGTTTTTTGCTCAGCTAGCCAGAGTTAAAAGCCCAAGTCTTCTCAAGAGATGTTAGGAAGATTACAGAGATGAGCTATTTGAACTACTTAAGCTCTCTCGCTTTCTCTCTCTCTCTCTCCTCTCTCTCCTCTCTTTCTCTCTCTCATCAAAAAAAAAAAAAGGAAAGGAAGTCAAGATATTAATCATATTATTCCTCCAACCCAAGCTCTCTCTGAATTACTCTCCATGTAATCTGTATTTATGGATAGAGGCATCCACCCTTGGAAGCAGAGACCTCCAAATTCATAACTGTCAGAATCACAAACCATGGGAAAGGAATTAACAGTAATAATTCCATTTTTTTTCCTAAGTAGAGCCCTAGATAGAATTGAATTAGCAGGTATGTCCCAGCCCTCTTGCTGCTTTAGCAATGTGCAGTCACCAGACTGGGGTCTATTTTTGCAGGTTTTACAGATACTTGGAAGCAGATGTGGTGATTTTCTCCGGAGCAGGTTCTGCAAAGATGTCCTGCCAAAATTGGCCAGCTCCTTAATCACCCAGGCCCCAATCAGTGCTCGGGCTGGACCAATTTATTCTCACACACTGGCCTTCAAGCTGCAGCTGGCTGTCTTGCAGGGCCTGGGTCCCCTCTGTGAGAGTCTGGACTTAGGTAGGTACCACATGGGTCTCCTAGCCACAGAGCCTGCACATGACTCAGTGACCCTCTTTGCATCCTCTGCCTAGTGGCACATGTGTCCCTCACCTCCCTTCTTATATACCTCTTTTAGTCTACCCTGGCCCCCAATCTGTCCTTTTACCTTAGGGTATTCCTGGTCTTGCTGGACAAAAGTAAAGAACTCAGGGAACCTTGCATGACTTATCTTATGTCTACAGACAGTGATTGGTTATTGCTTGTCCTGAATGCAGTCTGAGGGCCTGAGGCTTGTTTTGTTTTTCTGCCCTGCAGGTGAGGGTGACCTGAATAAAGTGGCTGATGCCTGCTTGATTTACCTCAGCACCAAACAGCCCGTGAAATTACAAGAGGCTGCCAGGAGGTACGTCTGCTTCATCACCCGCATCTCTTTACGTTCTAAATTATAGATGATTTGCTAATGGCAAGCAGAGTTGAGGCAATCTCTGTTCTTTTTTCTCTCTCCTTGCCAGGTTAAGATGATTTCTTTAGCTGTGCCAACTCCAAAGATGGCATTTTGACTAGGTGCTTTCTCTTTGCACGTGACCTTTTCCTGTACTGCAATGTCAGCAACAATTCCAGAGGGGCACAAAGCAGAAAGGCCTGATACTGGAGGCTGGAGGGTTTCCACCTCTACTCTGTACCTTGTAGTCAGTGATCCTGTACCTTTCTGTGCCTCTGCTCCCTCCATAGCAAAGCCAAGGGGAAGCACCAGGTGTGCCATGAGTAATGAAAGTCACAGATGGAAGAAGATTCTGTGCAAAACTGGGTGTGGTACAGGCGGGTGTGTGCCTATTTCTGGTGTTCATAGCACTCAACTGCTTTTGGCAGTAAACTGGCCCAAAGAGCAATTTGATAGACCTTTTTATTCCATAATTACATAAAGCTAATTTCCCAGGGTTGGGGACATGCCTGTTACAAAATAGCTGTGCCTCTAACACAAGCTATTTTGTTTCCACAAGGACTAAGTGATTTTTTTTTTTTTTCCTCATAAGCCAAAACAGCACAGCAGCATCCTTAACTTGAGACCCAAAGTGTACCATGGCCTCCTTTCCCCAGCACTCCTGCCTGCTGGGAACAGCCTGTACTCTGCAGCTGCCTGCCCCTGAACACCTGCTGCCAGTGCTGCCTGGCCTTCCAACTTCATGAGGGCATAGCCCCTCCTCCCAGTATCTGGAGTTAGCCCTCATCATCCTTGCTGGGATGGGAGTCAGGAGACTCCTCATTGCCCTTAGGAGCTAGGAAGGCTGCTCTGACAGTGAGGAGAGCAGCATGCTCCCTCACAAACCTTGCATTCCCTACAAGTAAGGGGAATATCTTTTGGAATTGCTTTATTGTCTTTGCAATTCTTTGCTCTTGATTTGCAATTCTTTGCTCTTGATTTCCTTGGTAGCTTCGTTTTCTTCTGTCTGTTTCTCGTCAAATTTCTTAGACCCAAGATCAGTCACAGTCTCTGGAGCATAGGGGTGCATCCCAAGGAGCTTCTTATCCTCAGGCACTCCTGTGGGTAAGAAGAGAACCAGCAAAAGGTGAAAATGGTCCTCCCTGGGCCAAGCCATGGCTGGTTGTGTTGGGAATTAAGGTACAACCCAAGGACGTGATGACTTCATATTGGAATAAATTCTTTTGAATTATAGAAACCTGATTCCCACACTTCCCATCCCAGTCCACTTTTCCTACATTCACTGCACCCCATCCTTCAAGTTTAGAACCATCAAGCTAATATTCACAATACATTTATCTTTTCATTTCTAATTCTCACTTGCCACTGAAAGAAATTAGAATTGGTCCTTGCTGAATCTTAAGATGGTGTTCAAGGTGGCTGGAGGACACAAATGCAGCCAGACCACTTATTTGGCTGTGGCTCCCTTGTTTTGTGCCTTCCCTTCCTCCAGAGGGTTGGGTCAGATGGCCCGAATCTGCCTTGATCCTTTCACCCACACCTCATCTGCAAATTTATTTTGAAGGGGGCAGAGGTTGAGAATCAGTGTTTTCCTTGGTCAGGAGCTGATTTAGCATCTTGATTCAGAAATTAATGGGCTCTCTAAACGGGAGGAGTCATCCAAGACAGTAGGCAGGCCTGGTGTCCTAAGCCACTGTGTTTAGTGAGGGTTCTGGTGAGGCTGACTGCATTGAAGCAGTCAAGGTGGTCCTGAGCAGAAAGTAGGGTGCCCTAGGCCCAGCCCGTTTGACCCTTGTTCTCTTTAACCCCTGAATCCCTTACTAAGAAAAGGCCTATCTGCCCACTTGGAACACTGTGTGTTCCTCTTCCCTTCCAAGTACCAATATAGTCAGGCCACATAACCCATGACCTGAGGCACCACTGAAGCCTCTACCTCTGCCCCGAGTATTCCCCACATAGCTGTTAGCCTAACACAACACACACTCGTGGGAGATGGGAAAGCTCTTCAGTTTAGAGAGCTTGTAACAGGTTTTATAAAAAGACAAACCTCAGCATAAGCTCAGAAAGTAACAGGGAAAAAGTCAGAAGGACCCACAGATGACCCAGCTCCCTTCAAAACAGGGGAGCTCCCCACCCTGCTCATCTTGTCTGCCAGAGAGCTGGTGAGGGAAGCTTAGAGGGTCCTAGGGGTGGGGGATTGAGGCCCCTGCCTTCTAAAGATGGTGAGCCACATAGCCAGGGCCTTGGTGCTGTGGACCTCAGAGCCATCATGATGTGGCATACAGGCAAAGCTGGCAACTAAAGAACATTCCTTTCATATACATCATAGCTAAGTTTTCCTTCTTCCTGTTTGCTTTTCCTGGCTCTAAAGAATGCCCTAGCCTCTGTTACTTTTTTTAATTTGTCATATTAAATATAGCCTTCATGGTAGGCTTTTACATCCAGGTTGTAAGCTCTGGAAATGGAAATTGATCAGGGGGTGGTTGATATAACCAAGGCTGTAAATGCTAAGAGTGGAGATGCCATTCCAGTTTAATGCTTTTATCTGGCAAACGTGCTTTGTAAAGAGGGGGCATAAATCTTACAGCTAGGGGGGGAGGGATGGGGGCAGAAGATAACCTTGCTGCTTTTTACCACAAGGTGTCACTGTTAACTGGTTATTGGGGGAGGGGGCTCCTTCAAATCCCATGTGCTTAAGTCACTTTAATGGACAACAGATAAGTAAATCATATTCAGGGTATGGGAAGAGTGGCCAACAAATAAAGAAGGCAGTGTCAATAAAAGTAAGCCTTAGTCAGCCCCGCCCCACATAAGCAGGAGGCAGAGGCCTGATTCAAATTCCCAAGTGGCCCAGAAGCCTCCAGGATATCTCCTAGCATGCAGTTCCATGCCCTTCTGACCATTGGGGTTTTGCCATTTCATACCTGAAAAGAATTCCAGAGGAGAGAACCTCCCCCTCTCTTGCAGCCCCATCCCAATTTCAGTTTTCCCTTGAGTATGTACATTCACTCAGTGGGCCAATCTCCTGCTAGCCTCTGAGGCTCTCTGTCCTACACTGAGGTCTTATATCATATGCATCTTCACTCTGGGCCAAAAGCAAATAAAAACTAGGCAATATCTGCTAGTAAAGCATAAAGTCTATCCCCAATAACTTTCATGATAAAACAGCACCAAGGCTGCTTGGTCTCTATCAACTGCTGCCCCCTGCCAACCCCAGAACCTAGCTAGGGATGCAGGTAGCCACCAGCTAGCATACCTTCTTCTGCCTTCTGGCCACACAGGTCCTGATGATGTTATTGCTTATTCCTAGGGAGAGCTCGAGGTGGGGGACATGTATTGAGGTCACACAGTACACAATACTCCTTTACCTTCCTTCATCTGGCATTGTGTGTGAGGAAGTAGTACCAGCTGGACAGACCTAGGTTCATGTCCTATATCCTATGATATATATGGCCACATGGGATCCAGTGCTTTTCAGTTCCTCCCTCTAGGAGGGGATGGTGGTGATGTCTGTCTCAGAGGGTCTTTGTACGGGTGAGTTGTTTTTATGTGGTGAACTCCTATGTGCCAAGCACTGATCTGGGTACTGAAAATAGAAGAGAAGACAGGAGGCCTTTGCCTTCACTCTGTGTGTTTCTGTATGTATGTACACATGTAGGAAATGTATGTGTGTATACACTAACCAAATGATATGTTGTCATGTATGTATACACCTGGATGCAGCCTTTCTTCTAAATCTCCTTGTTACTGAAATCTGAGCAGTGCTTTCTTCTCAAAGGGTTTTTTTTTTTTTTTTTTTTTTTCATGCTAATTGGGACACCCTATCTCTATTTGTGGGGAAGTCAGAAACAGGTTTGAAGGTTTCTTTATTGACTGACTTCCCAGCTCTCTTTCTAGCAGTAGGATCCCAACCCATCAAAGAATCAGCTGGTACCTTTAAACCCTGGACAACACAGACTAGCACAGGCTCCTCCATTTCATCCCCACCAGAGCCCTACTCCTCTCCATGCCACCCACAGGCCTTTCTGTTTGAACAGATCAGGAGCCACTGAGGTGATCCACTAGTTCAGCTGGCTCAAAATGAATAGCGTCGTCCCCTGAATGGGGTGGGTGCAAAGGCCTAAATGCAAAGCTGCTTCCCCTGGGGTGCACCTGGCATGGAAATGAGGGCACTCCTCATTTCTCCTTTTGACATTTGAGTAATAGTTGACAAATCCAGACCCAAGTAGTTAGCTTTCCTATTATCCATCTTTTGACAGGCACTGCTGCTTTTCTTTTCAAGGCCCATTGTTCTAAAAATACACTCAGATCTGAAGCTGTTCACTGTGCACATAGAGGCGTGATTTCATGGTGTCAGAGATAAGAGACATCTGCCATGCAGATTACAAACAAAGCAGGTTACTGGGTTTCTGGTATAAAGGCAGGGATCTTTTACTACTTAAACCATGTGTTGCCAGTATTTTCCTGAGGCTATATTGTGTCATGGGATTGCTAACCTGCTGGAGTTTGCACCCAGTGTGTGTATGTGGGGGTGGGGTGAGCTCGCCTGCACATGCATGCAGAGGCCAAGTGGTAAGATCAAAAGCAGGCACCATTATACCCCACCAGAAACACATTTCTGAGAGACACGTCTTACTGCACCCACCAGTAGAAGCTGCTGGGTCACAGAAAAATCATTTGAGAAAGAGAGGGCAAGACATGTAGATCATCACAAAAGTGTCATCTTTCTTTTAGGGGCAAGAAACACTGCACATGGCCTCTGAGTATACCAGCCAGTGCTGACACAAGAGGCTACTTTGAAGCAGCACTCTCATGGGACCATAGCCTGGGATCCTGGAGGTAGAAGAGTTAGCCAGATGGAAGGGGCTGCATTTAAAACCCACCTAGTAGGACTTAAACCCTGCTAGGTTCTGGCTTCCTTTTGAATTGTCTCTAACAGATTGGGCCTCTCCGTGTCACGT